AAATATGCTAAATTTACTTATCGATTATTAAAATTCTTGTCTTTCTTTTTTTTACCAAAAATAATTTTTATAACAGAATTATTCGGTACCAATTATTAGAATTTTTTTTTTTGTCTTTATTAAAATCTATGTTAATTCATTACTTCTGATTGCATAAGAAAGAATTTGTACTCGAAAATTTTCAAAATTACAACAATAATCAAATATTTGATTGTAATAAAAGAGGGAGAGAGAGAGAGAGAGAGAGAGAGAGAGGGAGAGCTATGTTCTCAGTTCTATTCAGAGAGATTTATCAACATCATTGATCATACAAGTTTTCTATTTCCCATCTCTTCTCCCTCCCGTTCCCCGTGTACCCCTACCCTTTTGTCATACATACTCCCTCCAACAATCCCAGCATAAAATTTTGAACAATATATATTTTATCAAACAAATTAAACAGCACCAATGCGGACGAAATTACATTGGCATTATATCCAAATCGTACATCTGGAATTATCTATTCTAAATGTTGAAAATTTAAAATTTATTTTAATATAGTTTATAGAATCAGATAATCTATTATGCTCCATTAATTATATTTTTTATCGATATGTTGTAGTTTGATTTTTAATATGCATATTTCTATTTGTTACTGATCGGTGCAAAAAATTTCTCAATTCAATGATAGATGTCACAAGTATCGACAACTATATAAAAAAATAAAAATAAATTTTAAGTGATATAATAAGACGATCTGAGATGCTGTCAAGATATGTACCATTAAAAGCTTAAAAATGATGATTGCTCTATAATAATTCTCTCATAAATATAAAACGATTAGCTTCTATGTTTTTTTTTTTTTTTTTGATAACATTTTATTATTTGATATTGTTTTTTTCTTTTCATTCTTTTATGGAAAAATTTAAAATCTAATTTCTAAACTAAAGGGAGAAAATTTTAGCTTATCAAAATTTTCTCCCTTTAGTTTATCAAAATTCATTAGTTCTTTCATGAATGAAATAAAAGCAGCTGTATAAATTTCTTAACGATTCATTTTTACTATAAATACGATAATGTATGATATCATTCAATAATAAAATGAGAATTTTTCTTTTTTACCTTTTCTTTCTTTCATAACTTTTTTTTAGGCTACTGAAACGAAATTGCTTATCAATTTAGTTATAAATAGTAATACAATAGCAAAAATCTGATGGCGTAATTGAAGTGCTTATTACATATTTACTGATAACTTAATATGGTAACAGTGCTTTTTCATTTATAAATCATCTTTATAATTAGTATGGATTGATTATTAGATGAATAACATTTTCAGATCCAATAAAAAAAAAAAAAAAAAAATTTCATTGTTTATGATAAGTAATGTCACACTTTCACTTTTTCATTTTTTACAATGCTTTTAAAAAATATTAAACTGTTACAAGAATTCTTGATAATTTTTTTTTTTTTTTTTTTATTAAAGAGACAATTTGATTGATAGAGTAAGTGGGAAGACAAATTTGCTTTCAGAAGCACGTAATGACTAAATGAACGATGGTATATTTTAAAATCTTTGGTTTAAAACATTTTAATAACTGGTTAAATTATTCACTCTGTCCATTTCTCATTTCTCTCTGTCCCCGTCCCTCTCTCTTTCTTTTTGTCTCATATCCTTAATTACACGATGTACACCTATTGGATCCTGAATTTGTTTGAGTGCTGGATGGAATATAGTAAAATCTCTAGCACCATTTAAATTCAGTATTCCAACCGGATATTATTTATCATTTACTTTCATTATCACCACTTATTATTATTATTATTATTATTATTATTATTATTATTATTATTATTATTATTATTATTATTATTATTATTATTATTATTATTATTATTATTATTATTATTATTATTATTATTATTATTATTATTATTATTATTATTATTATTATTATTATTATTATTATTATTATTATTATCAACCTTTCCTATGTGTGAAATTATAAACCATTTTAAGATTAACATATGTTACACTGATCTTATTAGTATTGCTAATTGCCATATTTAATTATTTCATTGAGTACTATGATATCGGAATATTTCAAATTGAAATTATTATTTTTTTTTTACCACTATATTTTATTATTTGAATAAATTTCTATCTTCTTATAACTTATCCATTCATCTTTTTACCATACACATTGCAAATTGTAACCAATATCATTCATTTTTTTTTTTTTCAATTTCCCTCTTAGGCGTCACTTTCTGCTTTATCGCTAAAGCATTTCATTTCATTTTTCTCTTTTATTTTTAATTAACTAACAGAATAAATGAGACAAAAGTACACCCTTCTAAAGTAAATGTACAATTTTACTTAAATATGCTTAAATGCAATCAAGCCAATAAATGCTTAACTAACATATATTGATATTTTATGCTTAGCAACCCATATTTTTATATTATGATATCAGCGCATATTTCCGTCCCATTCCTCTTCTTCACCTTTTTTTTCCCTCTCTCTCTCTTTCTCTCTCCCTTTCTTTTTTTCCTTTCATTAACTTTATTATTTTTATGTATTTTGCATTAAAAAAGCGAAGCTTGAATGTATTTATGATATAATATTTTGAAATATTTTCATGCTTATACTCTATGATTTAGTTTTTATTCCATCTAAATTTGATAATTTTTGTTTATCATTAATGCATGAAGTTAAGTATTCTCATAGTATCATTTATCACTTGAAAAATTTCAATTTCTTTAATATTATTTTTTAAATTTATTAAATTATTCCATATAAATTTATAATTGAAGGATTAGAAGTTTAGTCATACTTTGTTATCCATTATAATTGATCCATCTATGTGTCATATAAACATAACGCCACAAATATGTTAGCGTTTAAAAAAAAAGAAAATGAAAAAATTCACAAACAGATTTCATCGTTTTTTTTTTCGTTATTTTTCGAAATATAATTGTATTTGTCGAAAATTATATTCTCCATTTACTATAAATAATTAATATGAGAAGGAGAGAGAGAGAGAGAAAAAAAAAAGACAAAATAAATATTAATTTAATTGTAAATAATTATGAAATGGTAGATTTGTTTTTTTAGAATAAATTTTTAAATACAAAATTATAATCCATTAATGGGTTAAAAATTTAACAAAATGTGTTAGCCTAATACGAATGCTTTTTTCACTTTTTTTTTTTTTTTTTTTTTACATATTACAAATAATATTCTAATTGATATATGAATAAATATGTCTTTTATTGAAATTTGAATTCATTTTAATTTCAGATTACAAATTACAATTTCTTTCCTTCCTTCTCCATTCTTCCTCTTCCTTTAATTTCATATCTCATAAAATAGAACTGTATTTCAACAATTTTTAATGAACTACTTCTCTCTTTTTTCCTCCACTTACCCTCCTTCTCTCTCTCTCTCTCTTTCTTTATTTCCATTTCATATCTTTTTCGATTTTATTTAAATAAATGGTTAACTAATTAGTGAGCAAAAATTTGGATAAAATAAATGATTGATTTAAAATTTGCTCACTTTTATGGGAAGCATTGTGCAGGTATGCTTCCTTTCAAAAATAGTATATCATAAAAATTTCAAAATTTTTTTTCTTTTTAAATTATATTTCCATTTGAAGTAAGGATCTTTTCCAACTTGTAATTATTATAAAAGCAGAAAAGATAGAAAAAAAAATGATGATAATGATGATGATGATGGATTTATTTCATACGTTGAAGTAATAATTTGATTTCAAAAAAAATATATATATATATAATTTAAACATTCGTTTTAAGTAGTGTGAGAAAGTTGGACTGTAAAACACTAAAACAAAGTTAAATAATATTTTACATTTATTAAAATGATATATTTGTTTTTTTTTTCATACATTACAAGTTTGATAGAATAATGCTGAAATGAATTATTTCAACATATTCAAATTGATAAATTTAAATCTTTAAATTATGAAATAGATTTATTTGATTTTGAAAAATTAAATATATTGATTTTTAGGAAGCAAAAATTGAAATTTAAATGTTTGCATAGCAATCACTTATGAAATTTTACAAAATGTTTTGAAATATAAATTTAAACACTCCTTTTTCCCATCTTTTGTATTGTATTAAATTTGAATGTTATTATCAGTATAACATTACGTTGCTCTCTCCCTCTCTCTCTCTCTCTCTCTCTCTCTCTCTCTTTCTCCTTCCCTCCCTCTTTTTGTCTTTTCTTTTTTACAAAATTTTATTGTACATTGATGATCAAGAATTGTAATTTTGGAGGGATGGGAAAAATTTTATACAAAATTGAAGGAATACAGATGGAATATTTTGTATCATTTTAATTAGTAAATGTACTTTAATTCTAACTTTATCACTAATCTTTTTTCATCTTATCAAAAGATAAGGTAAATTAATAAGGTAATTGATAAATGAAATACATTGATTGAAATAATCATGAAGAATTTCATCTAATCACGAAATAAGTTAAACAATTTGTTAAGATGGAAATTTTATAACTTCCTGTAATAATTCAAAAATTCTTTTTCTAAAATTCTAAAGTATAATACTTTTCATCCGGAAAAAAAAGATACAACCTTCATGAACAAAAAAAAAAAAATAAATAACACAAAATCTTTGTTATAATGAAACTATTTCTTATCATCCATCAATAGAGATGTGCATTAATGATTGAAAACGTGATAGTATACGCGTGAGTAACGTAATTCTGAAGCGTCCAGAAAACCTTACATTACACGTTAACTTCTTAAACTATTTGAAAAGTCAAAAAAAAAAAAACTTGCTGAAACAATTACTCGATAAAACATTTGAAATTTTAATATAATTAAAAACTGCAATAATATCTTTAAAATGAAACATTTAATTGATCGTTTGGAAACAGAATGCTTGCAAATCATTTCATATTTTATATTACGTCAAAAAGATTGAAGTTTATAAGTTGTATTCATCATCTATTGTCATTTGAAGGAAAATTGCAAATAATAATGATGCAACCTCAAATCAATTTCATCATTGATCAGGTAAGACAGCTTAACTTACATTATATTAGTAATTAAAGTAATCAATGTTTAATATTAATTCAACTAATGCTATTCATACGTTACATTATTCATATGTTTGTTAGTAATTTTTGTTTCTCTATAATTTGAAAAAAGAAATTTGTAATTATTCCCAATTAGTGGTTATAATTTATTGATCAAATGATTATAAGTGCTATTGTATTTGTTTTTTTTTTCTGCAACTTAAACAAATTTAAATTTATTAAGAATGAATTTTTATTCAATTTTTCAATATTTATTATACTTTCTTAAATGAGTTAATAGTTGAAAAGATTAATTAACTTTAATTACTCAATTTTGAGAATATTATTTTTTTGTAAACTATATGCCAAAACAGTAAACAGTAAGCACTAGCTAATAGCAGTTATATACCATTTCAACCCGCTTCTTATAAGACTAATTTCTTTTATTTTTTTTTTTGTACAGAAAAAAAATGAAAGAAATTTTGGGAAAAAAAAAATTGAAGTAAAGAAAAATTTGAAGCATCAATTTTTTCTCTTTTTTTTTTTTCATTTAAAAAATATTTCCTCAATGTTAATTAAATTTTATTGACTAAAAAGCAGAAAAAAATTATTTTTCAACACTTCCATTACATTAATTTAACAAATCGAATTATTTATACTTGTTGGTAATTTCAAGTTTGACGACTACTGTCATTATTATTGCTTTTGGGCTTTTCTTTCTTCAAAATGTCCTCAAAAATTTTTAAAAAAAAAAAAAAGAAATAAATAAATAATTTACAATTTGGTTTATTTCTAATGGAATTCAGCAATTGCTAGGATAAATGCAACACTATTTTATTGCATTGATTCAAAAGCTTAAACAATTTCAATTGATAACTTTTTAAAGGATGAATCGGAAAATACGAAACCAGCAGGGTACAAATTTTGGTGTTGTCAATGTACCAGAAATGAAATAAATGATGTTGCACGAATCAATAATAATTCATCATTATCCAATGGTACCTAAATTTAACTAATAATATAGGGTCTAATAATTTTCTCTAATTATTTTTAAAAAAAGTTTTTCTTTTTTTTTTTGTTAATAATTTGTATCATCTTACACTTCCATTTTTGTATTCTAATTAAGTTGCAAAATTTTAACAATTCCCTAATAAGTTTATTTTACACAAATTTTATAATATATTTAATTTTTTTCAAATAAACCATAAACATAAATAACACACACACATACATAAAAAAGAAAAATAAAAGGACACAACAATATAATATATATATTACAATTTTATATACACCTATACTGTTGAACATCTACCATATTTAATTATTAAATTCAAAAATTTTATTTGAAAAATTTTCTAATTCTTTTATAGCATAATTTTTCTTATAGGTATTGTGGTTACCCAGCAACCACTTCCCAGCAATCAAAGTAATTGTGGCCACAATAATTTAAGCTTTTCCAATTATGCTTCTGAAATCAAAAATGGTTTCAGCGAGGAAAAGCACGAATTAGACGATGATAGTGAAATGAAATTTAAAATGAAAAGGTATTATAATTAGCAAAATTTTTATAAATAACAATTGATATTAAACCAAACAATTATAATATATGGTAAATCTAAAAATTACTAATTTTTATTATCTTTTTTTTTTTTTTTTTTTTTGCAAAAACAATTACAAAAAACAATTATGCTTCACTTGATTAGGAGAATCTATCAGTTTACCCATGCACATACACACACACATACAAATAATGATAAAACAATGATCAATTTAATGAATTCATGATTGATTATCACATTAGGACTAATTAGCTTTCCAGGTTGAAAGAAGAGAGTATCAATATAACAAGTATTGTACTGGATAATCTCATCAGTGAAGCAAAAAAAATAGATCCAACTGAGGAAGAGCAAACAAAAACTGAACAAGCGGTATAATTTTAAATGTTTTCAATATAAGTTATTTGATTTAGATCAAAATTTCTTAATATATACCTCCAAAATATTAATTTTTTATTCATTCATAGAAATTCCCAGAAGCTAATCAAACATTTTGCACATATTTTAATCAATGACAAAACATATTTCTATGATGAAAATAATGTGAGTTGAAAAAAGAAACAAAAAATTAGATCACGTCGAAAGAAATTTATGATTATTTATTAAAAAAGTTGCTTAATTTAATTTTTTTTTTTTAAAAAAAAGACATACAGGTGAAATTAGCAAGATAATACATATTTGTGGATTTTACGACAAAATTTATCAATCTGAAATTAAGTGCATAAATGTTTAGCAAACGAAAAAATTTTCCACTCAACAAAATTTGACTGAAAATGTTTGTAATATGGATGATATTGTTTTCTCGGATATTGATGGAGAAGATCAATGGAAATCAATGCCTGAAAGTGAACAAATAACAAGTAAAAATGAACTTTTCACAAAATAATGTAAAATAATAATATTCAAATTTAAAATACTAACAAATTTAGGAAAAATCGAATTGGAAGTTAGAAAAAAAAATTTTTTTTTTCTTTTTAAGACAATTAATTTGTAATTATTTTAGGGATTGGTAGCGATCATCATAAAGAGCAAATTATACATGATAACTGTGATAATGATATTACTAATTATGATGATAATGGAGAAATCAGAAAAATAAGTGATATATCAGATGCTTTTAATATTTCTGAACAAACTTCAAAAATAGAATTATTTGAAGAAAATTCCAGCCAGATTAAAAATGCAAAAATCAACTAAATGAAGTGGATTTTTTGAATAATATTAATGAAGCTGATAATTCTGGCGATGTCGACAATTTTGGCAATTCCATAAAAAATTTAACCAGTTTTACTAACCGAAAACTATCAGCAAACACGAGCAAAAGCAATTGTCTCTCAATGATTTGCATTCCGGATGATGATCTTATACTAAAGAAAGAAAATGCTCAAAATATTTCAATGGAAATTGGACGCAAAAATACCTCAATATCAGAACGTGACGCTGAAACAGTCATACGATCCAATAAAATGTATGCTAATGATATGTCAAGTTCATCATCAAGTGATAACGATGAAATGCCCGAAATTATCATGTCAAACAAAAATACCGCAAAAATTCTCAATCTTCCGGTGGAATCCAGAAAGATTGATACGGTAACAACGAGACACACGACGTATACGAGTGATGAGAATGTATCAGAAAATAATGATAATGTTAAAATGTTTACCGATGATTAAATGAACAATTTCATGTGAATAAATAAGTGATAGGATAATTTTCATTTTTTTTTCCCTTTCTTTCATAATTACCTGTGATCAGTTTGATTCATTAAAAAATTTGATTGTAATTTCAATTGTGAATAAAGCAAGTGCAATAAACTTTCGTTATAAACACAAAATTTTTTTAAAAAAAAAAAAGATTCATAATTTATAAATTTTCTACGATTTATTGGTAACTGTCAATTCAATTTAACCAAAAAATTTTGATTGTAATTTTATTTTTAATCATTTTAAACTGTTAATTCATTTTATATAAATTTAAATTTCATGCTTTCTTTGTATAATTATCGATTATTAAAGGAGCAAAAAATATTTGTAAATTATCGTTTAAATGTTAAAAAGGTTTTTGAAAAGTTTTTTTTTTTTCCGATTTTTGATAATTTTGATACTTTGTCTACAAATAGAATTGGTGAAATTTAAACATTTGGTATAATGCAATAATAATCGATGAGATCAAAATGTTTGTTGGAATCAATAATTTCATTTATCAAATAATACTTTATATAATATCTTTTGCAATCATCATGTATGCTTTAAAAACCATACAATCTTTGATTTATCAAGTAATACCTACTCATTTGCTTATTACCTTAATGTTACACCTCAAAATATCCTTAAAGTTACAACCATAAAAATTTTTCAATTAATCCAAAAGAAAAAATTTTAAACATGAAAGAGCCCAGATTTGAAATAGAGAAAAGAGAAGAAATAAATGATATATCACTTTACATTTAAAGTGAAATATTTATTAGATAATAATTATATTTCTAATTAATTTCACATAGGAAAATATTTCAATGAATTGATAGATTAATCATTTGATTATAATCTTTTTTTTTTTTGTTATGGTTTTAAATTTAAAAGTGTTTTTGTTATATAAATTATATGATATTGTACTTTAACATAATTTCTTCCTCCTTTTTTTTTTTTTTTTTTCTTCTTGGAAACTTTTTATTAGGATAAATGAATGAATGAGTATGATGACTGATGATGATGGTGGTGATTTCTTGTAGAATTTGTTAACCGGTTGCTGTGAATGAAATGAAGAGAGCTCAGATGACAATGGCGCATTTACATGAAAAGTATTTGTGGTATATGCGCAGATTTCGATTTGTCGTAATTTCATCAACGATAAATTTACTGAAGAAAATAGCAATTTTAATCGAAAATGAAGCAAATTATCAACATTTTTCAATGTTTCATTTGCTTCTTCTCTATTCATTCAGTGGAAAATTATCGAACGCAGAAAGTATCACAACGTACGTTAGATAATATCAAACAACTTATCACATTAAAAGTACAAAGGTTTATATTTCATTTTTATTTATTTTTTTTTTTAATTTTAAACTAATAATTTTTAGTATTATTAAAGTTATAATTATTTCTTGCATTAAATTTTTTCTTGTAAATTTTTAAATGTTACAGGCAAATTGAAAATATCGATAATGCATTATTAGCTGATCAAATAATATTACAACGAAGAAATCCTGAAGCAAAACGTCATCATAATGAACTATCGATTAATAATCCGGATGCATATTATCAAGTTTTTTTTCCTCTTAGTTTCATTTTTTTTTTTTTGAAAATGACAACTTTATTACTTTTTTTTTTATTTACAAATTATTTGGAAAAAAAAAGTACGGAAAAATAATTTTTCCGTTTTACGTGCTATGAAATAATTTATAATTGCACTCTAACGAGGATTGATATTTCCGGTATTGATATTTAGATTCTTTTACATAAACTTTGAAAGGTTTTCGAGATTTTGAAAAAAATTATTGAAATTTCAAAAGAAAGGCTCGTTTTTTTTTTTCTTTTCAGGGTGATATCGATTTGTCGGAAAAGCAAGCCGAAATGCTAAGCAAACATTTGAAAAGTGAAATTGTTTTGAAGGAAAAAGACGATGAAATTATACGTCAAAAACGGTATTGTTAGTAAATTTCGTCAGTTTTTTCTTTTTTTTTTTTTTTTCAAATTTATATTTTAATAGGAATTAAAACAAAAGAAAAAAAATTCTGACTTTTATCCCAATTTTATTTCTCTTTAAACACACACACACACTTACACACATATACAACAAATTTAATTCAAATTCCACCAATTTCATTTTTTCTTTATATTGCTATGACTAATCAGTGTTTTTGCGCAAAGCTTAGTTAATTACACAAACCATAAGTTACGTCATCACAATATCAAAGCTATTTTTTTTTTCATTTGCCGAAAACGGGATTTTTATCCTTTCCTACACATAAATATAACATCATGCAAACATATGAACTGGCTAAGTTTACTTTTATTTAAACTAATTTTATTTAAATTTATTTTAACATAAATGAAATTGATTAAATTCTACTTTAGTTTAAATTAAACTTAAATCTGATAAAAAAATTTCGTTCAGATTTACGTTTTTTTTTTTTCGCTTGGCTTAAATATAAAATAAACTTCTTTAAAAAAAAATTTCACAATTAATTAGATTAAAACTGTAACATACAAAAAAAAGTACTTGAAAAAAATAGATTTAGCAAAATTACTATACAATAGATTCAAGCCTTGAATAATTAAACTTTAAACTTTTTTTTTTCTTAGAAGCGTTGGCCTTGAACCGTTTTACGTACGTTGGGATCATAGACGTCCTATCAGCTATGATTTTGCCGAAACTATTCCACTAGAAACACGGGCAAAAATCCGCGCAGCAATGGCAATGTGGGAAGAACGCACCTGCATAAGATTCCAAGAAAATGGCCCAAATATAGATCGAATTGAATTTTTTGATGGTGGCGGATGTTCAAGTTTTGTCGGCCGAACAGGAGGCACGCAAGTAATTTTGGAAGCAAAATTTATTGTCGAATAAATTTTTAATCTTTTGCAAATACTCATAGTTTGACTTAAAAAAAAAAAAAGGAAGAGAAGAAAGAACGAAAATTTTTACATTTCTTGAAAATGAAATTAATAATTTCTCAATAAAAATTTCAGGGAATTTCAATTTCAACTCCAGGATGTGATATAATTGGTATTATATCACATGAAATTGGTCATACATTGGGAATATTTCATGAACAAGCACGTCTTGATCAGAAAAATCATATTTTTATTAATTACAATAATATTCCACTGAGCCGTTGGAATAACTTTTTTCCAATATCACAACATGAAGCTGATATGTTTAATTTACCCTATGATACGGGTAATTTTTTTCATCTCATAGTAATGATAATAATAATTTAAAAATGATATATATATATCAATTATGTTTTAATTTTTTCTTTTTCTTTTTTCAAAAATACGATAATTTAATTAAAATTTTAACTCAAGAAGTTTTTTTTTTTTTTAAATTATTTTTAAGAAATTAATAATATTTATAGGATCAGTAATGCATTATGGACCATATGGATTTGCAACAGATCCGTACGTACCAACTATTACAACACGTAATAAATTTCATCAATCCACAATTGGGCAACGTGAAGGGCCATCGTTTCTGGATTATGCAGCTGTTAAGCTTTATATAACAACCGCATTAATGATATTGTCATCAAATGGCTGATAATTTCAAGAACTGTAAATTTGAGATCTCAAATCTAAATCATTAACATTTATTAAAATTTTTTCTCAATCATATAAATATAATTGGTAATACTTCAAAATTGATCAAAAAATTTTTCACGGATAAGATTTATTAGTGCTAAAATTTTTTTTTATTAGTCGTTGAGTAGTAAGTAAACGTACAATAATTTAAATTGCAAGAGTGAACATTGACTGCAAATATTTGACATTATCAAATTTCAAATTTGAGATTATCAAATTAAATTTTCTTTTGTTATCTATTAGGATAGTGTTATAGGATAAATAATGATTAACTTCTTTCATAAAGCTTATTTTTAAAAATAACATTATTTTCTTTGTTTATCAAGATGACATTCTAGAATTTTTTTTATTTTATTTATTTATTTTATTTTTTAGATTAACATTGCTTATCGTTGTACGGAACATTGTGCTAATATACAATGCGATCATAATGGTTATCCGAATCCTAATAATTGTGCAAAATGCCTATGTCCAGATGGTTTTGCTGGTAGTACCTGTCAATTTGTTCAATATACATCTTGTGGAGCTCTCATTAAGGTAAACATTATTTATTTATTTTTTGGCCTCTTTTTTGATCAACAATATTATTATACTATAGGTTAAAGATATATTTCTTCGTATAACACCTTTTTTTTTTAATGCATCATGCAAAAATGATTTCAAAATTTACGTCAATTTTTTGCTTTTTATGCAAATGCATAATTCATCCTGTCATCTTACCGTTTACTGTCACTGTAAATATTATTGCTTTGAAATTTTGATCTTTTATTCTAACGCTTCCTCTACGTAACTACTTCACGAAAAATACTCTAGGTCAAAAAAAAAAAAAAAAAGAGAACTGATGCAATTAATACACCTTATGATCAATTTATATGTATGATTTAAATTAATAGAAGAAACAACATAAAAGATTACTATCTTCCTACCTGTTTGATCCTTCCGATAATATACTTTTTGCTGTATATACTCAGGTCATCATAATCTTCCAACTTATTCCACCATTTCAATTCACTCTTAGTTAATGCAATATTTTTGAAAGACTAAACTAAATGCATTTCTTGAACAGATATCATATAACTTATCAGTGTTATTAGATATAAGCAATGAAATTTAAGCAGCATTATGGTGAACTGTTAATAGCATTGAATACTGATCTACTGATCTTTACAAAAAAAGATCACTTGATAAGATATTCTTGTAACACTTTACAAATTTTTTTAAAGAAATTTTCAACTTTTCTAATTTAATATTCATCGATATCAGAACTACGAAGTTTTTTCTTTTTTTTTTTTTTTTTCATTAAGTTATTAAATGGTAGAAATTGATGAAATTTTATTTTCATATAGTGAATATCAGGAAAAAAATAATTGTATGTGTTATGATAAGAAGTGGAAGGAAAAAGAAAGGTAGACAGAGGGAGAGAGAGAGAGAGAGAGAGAGGAAAGGAAAAGCAAAACAATGCATATTTTAGTAATCTTTATTTTCCAATACAAATTTAATAATAATTAATGCAATTGTGGTGTGATTTATTTGCTGTATATGCTTCTTCGATACAATCATCCCTTTTTTGTTGCTACGAAATTGTCGGACGATATGTGCCATTAATGATCGCAAGTTGGACAAGTTGGCGACGCTTGTGCTCGTCATCGTTGCTACTGAGCAGCGCTTTGACACTGTGTATACCGAATGATAATTTTTGAACACAGCGACCATGCGACACATCAGTAGCGATGATGAGCACATGCAAGGGTTCCGAGAGATGCTCCCAACCAATACGATTACGAAGACGGGCTTCACGACGGGCATCCTGAAAAATTCACAAGACGGGCTTCACGACAGACATCCTGAATAACTCAGAAGACGGTCTTCACGACAGACATCTTGAAGAATTCACAAGACGGGCTTCACTACGGGTATCCTGAAAGATTTACAAAACGGGCTTCACAATGGATATCCTGAAAAGTTAAGTGCAACTTCCTGATGGTCATCCTGAAAGATTCACATGACAGGCTTCACAACAGACATCCTGAGAAATTCAGTGCAACTTTCCGGTGTTATGTGCTATTGATACTATCTAGTAAATATTATAGGATGGATAGACTGCATCATTTATTGATCTGTTTACTGATGTAATGTTATAACCTGATGGAACAGAAGAGACGAGAGACAGTAACAAGGGAGTAAGGTCAGGAAGTTTTTACTTTAACGGAACCCCTTCCACGGATAAGGATGCGACAATCGGTCTGGGCCTCAAGTTGTTTCACCGAAATTCCTCGTGGTCCAAGAATGCGTCCGATTAATTTGCAATTTGGACGTTGTGGAATAATAACCTTCTCCTGGATCGTAACAAGAGATCCTTCCATCTAAAATATATTTTAACCGAAACGCTTGAAACTACTAAGGAAAAAAAAAAAACTAAAAGCATTAAGATAACATGATAATTACTAAAACTGTATGACTGATACGCGTTTAAGAGTTATATAAATAGTGACACACATATAAGACAATAGTGAATTTTGATTATTTTTACACAAAAAGATGCTATTAATTCTAATTTTAAAATTTAATTGTTTATATGCATTCTCATATTGAATTACTATATCATTGGCTATTTACATGGTGAAGATGATGCATATGATCGTTACGCATTGCATGCATATAGATAACGGTCCAGACGCGATCGATTTCATTGATAAGCAACGAGTAGGCATTTTGAAGCTTGTCGGGATGATTTGACTGAAGAACATCCAATTTATACATTTCTTGCACCAATTCGTTAAAATATCTAGAAATTTTCAAAAATCATTATTACAAATTTGAAAATGAAGTTGCGGTGATAGTGAGAAAAGTTAAAATAAGATACTGAATGATAAGAATGGGAAAATTTTTTGATACCTTATGCTACCGAAGTAAGTGTTATGCATAATATTATCTAGGCGCATATTAGAGATCGGAGAAGGTGGAAGAGGGATATCATCCAGCACATCCCATCTTCCACATTGACCCGCATCACCACTTTCCTTAGTACCTTTCATTCCCGAGTCCTGTTAGAGAGTGCAGCACTCGATAAAAGTGTTTCAATGTGACAATGTTGAAATTATCTGTTTCTTCGGCTTTTTATAGTTTTTGCATTCAGTATGTGATTTTTTGTTTGCATAAGCATTATATATTATCATAAATTAAATTTAAATTTGAATATAAATATGTTAGATGATAACAGTATCATTAAATACATTACTATTCATTGTTTTAACTTATTTTTGATTTTTTCTGAATTTTAATATTTTTATTGAGCTAATAATTCAACTCCACTTAATACATTGTTAGTAAGTTAATTTGTTAATATATTTTTGTCGATTTGTGGAATTTTTCTTAGCAGGATTAATTTATTAATTAGCTAATTAGCTTGTTAGTGAAAGGTAAAAAAGAACATTTCCAACCTAAAACTTTTCAATTTTTTACTTTCTAGAAATTATTGTAGAAATTAGTGCTTCCTTTTAATCTTAATTTTGTTTCTTATAAAGTCTTAGTTGAGCATAACGTATTGATAATTTGTTTGTTATAGTAAAAGAAGTTAATTTATTTCATCCTTAAAAGTAACTAAATGTTTATCACAACGGTCTATCTAAATTGTATTAAGCTAATTCAGTATTTTCCATTTCTACAATATCATTTTGCTAACGACAGCTTACTTATCTCATCTAATCTTTATGAAATCATTTTTTTTTTAAAGTTACCATAAATTTGTACAATTTAAATGTAAAAATTCATTGGAAAATAAGTGTTCGCTGTCATAAATTTTTTGCAGATCATCGCTTTTTCATCTATTAAAGAAAATTATGCAAATTTAGCTTTGTCTAGTTTAATAATATCAGATTATTTCTATCTCTAAGATTTGTGATTATTTTTAGGCAAGCAAAATGCCTGTTACAATTTCGAGTCCAAATTATCCAAATTCATTCAATGTTGGTGATCATTGCATTTGGCTAATTACAGCACCACCTGGTGGAATAGTAAATTTTCAATTTATTGAACAATTTCAATTACAATGTGAAGATACATGTGATAAGTCTTATGTAGAAATTAAAATTGGCGCTGATTTTCGACTTACTGGATATCGGTTAGTAGCAAAGAATAACCAATCACGCATTATTTCAATTAATTATTAATTTTTTAAAGCACACAAATTTGAAATTGAAAAAAAAAAAATTGTTCCAAATTTTGTTTTGTTGCATTCATGAGTTTAAATTGTTGCATTTCAAATTGCTTTTTCATTGTAAGAAAATATGTAATCCCTCCTGATTATTTTCTGAACCATAGATTTTAAATTTTGTATAAAAGATTTTCTTCTGAATGCAAGAATTTTCCATTTTATCATTATTTGAGCATGCAATGAATTATAATCATTTTTACTACCTACAAAAAAGGAAATAAATGTTTAGTTTATACTATTTTTTCAGATTTTGTTGTACGAAAGCTCCACATCATATCTTTCAATCTATCACAAACGAAATGATAGTTATATTTCGTGGTTTTGGTGAAGCTGGAAATGGCTTTAGAGCTAAAGTTTGGTCGAATGTAGACTATCAAATAGTTGTAAGATAAAAGTTTCATTTATTTCATTTAAAATTCAACATATTAATTTATTAATGTTCAGAGAAATTTTTTTAGAATAAAACTGTATCAAATAAAATATCTGAAATTCCGGAAGAACTATTGAAATTAACAATTCCAACAGTTGTAACTACAACAATTGCGATAGCAACAACAATAACAACAACAACAACTGCTACCACTACTACTACTTCCACATATGCAAGAAAATTACGGATCACGAGCATTGCTATCACTAGTATTCCGGCTAATATCGTTACTACTACTATTGCCGGTACAGTATCAATTCCCTCAACTATCACTACTATGCCTATAGTAACTGACAAGAACGGAAATCAACATCGTAAGTTATTTATCGTTTATGCTTGGTAATTTGAATTTCTTTTATAGATCAGACTTATTATGAATGTTATGAGTGTTCACAAACAAGACAGCAAATACAAAAGTCATTGATAAAAGATGCAAAAAAAAAAAAAAATCATCGAGATAGAGGATGACTGACAAGCTTGAATTGAAGAGAATGATCAGTGTGTTTTTACGTCAAAAGGGAGAAGAGAAAGCCGTTTGTAAAGTTATTTATATCCAAACGTAATCAATGGAGGAAAGCAGGAATATTCCGTGAGAGTGCTATTCACCATCCAAATTGAAATTCTGGAAAAGCAAATGAAAAAAAATCTACACTCAGTCGTTTCCTTTTGAAGTACAAATAAACGCACCGTGTCATAAGACATTTACAACGATTTTGGCAAACTCTCGATATTCTCATTCAGCATCGCAAAATAGACGTATAAGCGCAAATGTCCAAATTATCATACGATTTAGTATGTCGAATCGTGAAATTACTCTAATAATTGTAAAAAACAATGGCCGTCAAATGCATCACCTAAATTTTGAAAAAAAATCAAAAACATTCGTAAATGCAAGAGCAATAAATTTACATTACAATTTATATGATCCGAATATTGTTTTCATTCATTTTGATGATAAAATTTTTATCGCTTGAATATGAGATAAATAAATATCCAATATGGTTTTCGATTTTGTTTAGCAATTTTTGTAATCAAATAAAAGTCTAGCTATCCATCGGGAAATAATTTTAAATATTGTATGAGAGAATCATGTAAAAAGCGAAATGATCCGGATATGGTTTTCATTCATTAGAATTAATTTATTAAAAATTAATAATCAGAAAAAGAAATTGCTCACTAGATAGATGTACCAATCAGATTATGATAAAATAGATGAAAAAGTTTTAATTCGAAATAATTTCAAATTTTGACTTTATCAATTTTTAATAATTTGCCCATCATTTTATTTCATTTAAATTTCTCAAAAATTACTTACAATAAAATGTCTTGTGATTATACTTTTTTTTAATATTTGGAAAAAAATTTTTTTTTCTGTTTTGAAATCATTCTAAATTGTTTGCAGTATGCGAATGTGGTGAATGGACAGAATGGAGTGGACCATGCACTCAAGAGTGTGGCGGTTGTGGAAAACGTCTTCGGACACGTCAATGTTCGTCAGACGTAAATTGCAGAACGGAAGAAAAACGCGCATGCGCTTTTAACGTTTGTCCATATGGAACTAATTTCCTTATTAATAATGGAGAATTTCATATACTTTGGAAGGTAAATTATGACTTAAATAGATATGATATTGATCACTGCATCAAAAAAAAAAAAAAAAAAATTCATTTATCTGATCTTTTTGATAAATGTAAAATCTTTTACTTCTTTGTTAAGTAATGAAATGAAATTTGAAACAGTGTATAAACATACTGTAAATGTACAAATGGAAATTTTGAGCAGTATTATGGATATTAACAATTTGTCAATTCCAAAATATTAAATGCGTAGAAATTTATTAATATGTTACCGTACACAAAACAAAGGAAATGAATCGTAACTGATAAACAAAAAAAAAAACACTTTAAGGGTTGTTGTGTTGGTCTGTTCCGATCGGGAGATACGTGTTCTGCGCTTGATGATGGCGAAAATCCATTTTTGAAGTTTTTAGAAACATTATTAAGCGTACAAGATATTCGACGAAGCAGAAATTTACCTGACATGACGAATTGATAATCGGGTCGAAATTTATTCATAATTCTATTTGTTGATTGTTTAATGAAAAAAAAAAAAAAAAACAGAATGTTTCTGATAACTGTGAATAAAACTTGGTTTTCTTTCTTTCTTTTTTTTTGTTTTACCGCTATAAAATTTAATAGTTTGCTACCTATTTAATTACATTTCAGCAAATAAGCTTTAAAATTTTTGTGATAATTTGAATAAAAGATATGAAGATTGAAAGTAGATGAAAAAAGTTGAAAGGAAACGACTGACCTTTTGTCAAATTTTCTCACAAAATACGCTCCTTCGAAGAGATGATAAGTGATAAAAGTTGAATTGCACTAATGATATAAATGAAATTTATTGCATTTTAAACTTATGTAAATAATTTTCATCCTTTGCTCGCTATATAAATTATTAAATTATTACAATATTTTATTTTGGAATGATCAAATCTTTTTATATATTGCCGATATAGTGGAATCAATTTCTTGCAGTAACTCTTACAATGATAATTCCTAAAATACTTACTTATTAATTTTGCTAATTAATCCACTAACTTCATTAATACTTTAATTTGATGCTAAAGAATTTTCAACTGATTTAGATCATTCAAAATCTTTGGAATATGCTATATGTTGTATAATTCCATTATCTGATATCACCTAATCATTATCATTTATATAATGCGATCAAATCAAATTTTATAAAATATTCAATTAAATTGATAATATTGTAATCTTTTTTCTCTCCCAAAATAGGTAAATTAACAGTATAATCACTGATAAGAAATTATGAAATATATGAGAAAAAAAAACAATTAGAGAAGAAAAATGCTTCAATCATTTCTTCCTGTCCTTTTTTTTTTCCTTTCTTTTCACGTTAACTTGTGTCATTTCCCAGGATATCCTCTTCCTTTCTTCTTTTCTCCCTTTTTTTTTTTTTATTTTTTACTTTTTTTTTTTTTGACAACTTCATTTTTCCCATGGATTCATTCAATTAGTATCGTTTCATAGTGAATGATGAATTGGTGCAATATTTTTCCCACCATGCAGCGAACGACTTTATTTTCTACTTTTTCTGAGTGTTGACATAGTTGTTAATGGACTTACTTATTTGGTCATTTGTTATTGCCGGAAAAGGAAAATGCTTAAAAGGTTATTGATTTGATCAAACAATAAAAGATGAAGAGAAAAAAAAAAAAAGAGAGAGAGAGAGAGAGAGAAAGAGAAACTTCACAATTTACTGTTTATAACTTAAAATTTAATTAATCAATTAGTTGACATTTTCGTTTTTAGAACTAATTACAATACTGTTTTATAGTTTCTAACATTTGCATTAGGTCAAATATTTTACAAATTTTAAAATTCAAATAAAAATTCAATAAATTTCAAATAAAAAAATTCAAATAAAAATTCAATAAAAATTTAAAAATTTAATAAATTCAATTAAATTCATACATCAAATTATAAAACTTCTTTAAATCATCGTTAATCATAGACATCGTTTGTGAAACTTTTACACGTTGTATTCATATATTTTCCAACTAACGTTGGATCGAATTGTGTAAAAATAATGCATTATTGATTTAAAAAAAAAATGCTTTGTTTTCATAAGTTTGTGTAAAATTTTATCAATAACTTTCAATAACTTTATCACCATCATTATTATTATTGCCGTATCGCTATTATCATTACTCTTTTTACATTATTGTCATTCTAATTTACTTTTGCTCATTAATACTATCATTGTCATTATTATCATCCTTTTCTTTATATCATAAAAGTTAGTTTATTGTCAGTACTTACACCAATTAATATAATCTAACATTGTTTGGGCTATTACAATAAAAAAATGTTATCACTTGCAACTTATGTATTTCTTTGAAAAAGCTAAATTAGAGGATCAAACGAAGAAAGACATTTTATCATTTTACTGATAATTATTAGTTCGATAGAAATTATGAGCAGCCATAAACCACCAGAAATGCCAATTTAATTTATTAGAGATTTGGAGATTACTGTTTCTGATCCAATTGTAAATGTAACAATTTGTAAAATAATTTTCATAATGTAATTTTCTTATTTCGAAACTTTAAAAAGCTATACTTTTTCTATTAATATTAAATGGCTGCGAGAAATATTTAAGCAAACATTTTGATCATAGCGGATAGTAACAACAAAAACAACAATATTAGACATAATTTATTAATAAGTTATCATTCTTATCATAGAATTGACTAATAGCAAAGCGGTACTGCTTTTATCATTACTTCTCTAAAATGTTAATTATTGTTGTTATCACTATCAACAGTTTTACTAGTTAACAATAACACTATAATACCACAGTTGGAGGAAATTATTGCGTTAATTGTCATCATTTGTACTCATCAATAATATTCCTTTTTGTCATTATCAGTAATCAAAGTCGCTGATACTATCACTTGCATTCATTATAATTGCTTATCATTAACGACTTATGCTAATCTCATAATCTGACAATTGACGTAAAATTGACTCTTTATCCAGCAATAAATCGCGACAATCCAAAAAACTTTCATCGATGCCATATCGGTGCTACTGCTTTTCTCATCAATGAGAAGAAATTGTTCATTCTGCCAAAAGGCGTGGTCTACTTTTATAGCGATCGGAAAGACGGAACGATCATCGTATCATCATTTTTCGACACCCTTTCAGCCATCATCATCATCATCAACAGACATTAGACATAAATAAGCAGTACGGATGGATAGAAGAAAGACTTGAAGAAAGCTTAGTACCGGTGCTGTTGCTGTGATATCTGTGTCATCAAGCATTCGTTTTTTTTTTTGCTTTCATTTATAATTATTTTCATTTAGCTAATCCAAATGTTTGATGCATGCGGATAACTAAACAAACAATTTATCTTATTATGGCATTGTTAGCTATCATATTGGTATATTTATTAGTTGATAAGGTAAGAGATTGAATTGTTAAAATAATTTGAGTGGATGAGAAATTTGTTTTTTTTTTTTTTTTTTTTAGCAATATAACGTTTGCATTATTTGCTGTGATTAGTATTGGTAGTTTGAAAAATTTTAATAGTTTCCTTAAGTATTTTTTTTTTAATTTTATTGATTAATAATAGGCGATAAAAACTTTTAAAATGTTTAATATTTTAAGTTTTTTTATTCTTATAATTATTTGATTTAATATTTTATTTCATGGATTTTTAGGGATTTGGCCATCACGGTAGCCAAATAGAGTATGTGCCAACAACCAGTGATTTGGATGGTTTAGTGATTGCTGTAAAAACAACATTAAAATTTCATGAGAGTCGCATACGTGACATAATTGATACATGGTTTCAATTAGCACCTAACAATGCTCGTTTTTTTTTACTTACAATTAAATTAAATGTGATTCAATTAATTATTATTGATATTATAAGTTGTTTATGAATTTGTCATCCGAGCAATGAGTTTTTTTTTTTAAATCTCACTTTAAATTTCATTATATTATGATGCAAATCATTATGGAATATTAGTGGAACATTTATCAGTAAAGAAGTAATAATTCTAACAGTCAAAATAAAATACTTTAGTTAAACACAATAGATAGGTAATAATTTAATTACTGACTGTCAATTTCTTTCTCAAATATTTCATTTACAAATTTAATCTTTCATAGGTAAATAGGAATGAATAATATTAACAGGTCAGTTCCTTGCTTTTTTTTTATCAAATTTTTTATAATTTGTCAAATTTAAAAATTTGTATGAATGATGCAAGTGAGTACTTAAGTTAACCTTCATATTTTTCTACTTTAATATAAAAAAAGCTTGGAGTAAAAACCGGCAAAATTTTGAAATTAAACAAAATTATAAATAAGTTTATTCTTTCATTATTAGAGAATATTTCTTCTCAATTATGGATTTTTTTTTTTGAATTACTAATTTGCAATTATTTATTTCTTTTGAGATAATTGGTGAGTCGTTTATATATATGCATCTTTTAACTGTAATTTTTTCAAGATAGAATTACCGTTTGTGATATCATATATATACTTTTAGTCTTTCCGAAAAAAACCAAAAATATGTTCATTTTTTAAATGATAAAGCCAAAAAAGAGAAAAATGAAAAGCTAAAAATAATCCAAAAAAAGAAAGTGGAAGATGTCAAAAGTTATAGGAAACAAAAGATTTATGGAATGAATCAGAATTGTCAATAACTGTCAGAGATCATTATTCAAATCTTGACTGTTTACTTCTTGTCTTAGCTTATCCTCTACACAATGCACCATTTATCATTCTTAAATTTGTAAAGTCCTCAAAATTGTAACAAAAGTTTATCGCATTATTTTTTTGCCACTACTTTCCATTTTAAAATTTCAATATTTTGGCTTAATTTCATTTTCTTGTGAGTACAGTTTTAAGCTGAACTCGAGAATTTTCAAGAATTTTTATACTAAAAGGAACTGTAATAAAATTATTGAAAATGCTATTCTTTCTAATCAGTAATTCTGAGTTTACAAAGTATTCATCGTTATAATTATAATGGAAAAAATTTTTAGCTTTTTTTCCATTAGTATATTAAAATATAAAAGTAAAATTTAGCATCTCTCATTACCAATTTCAGCATAAAATATTTAAATTATTGCTAGTTCCAGTAATTATTATCATCGACTTTAACTTTACTACTAGAACTGGTAATATCAGAATTTAGCAATAAATTCCCAAATCATTCTGCATTTTCCCTCGATGACTCGACTGAGTGTCACACGAAAAAAAAAAAAAAAAAAAAAGACGGTTTGTTGATGAACCCCGGATTTATGTTTATTTTAACTGATCACCGTTCCGTATCATACGATGAAATAAAATAGCATAAAAGAGATATTGATACAACTTACATCCGATTAACTTAATTTATTCAACACTTATCTCTGATTAATCTTCGTGGTAATTGATGAATTTTTTAATCTGTATGATACGAAACAATAATCAGTTCAAAACGATAAGTAAATTAGATAAAATAGA